CCTCCTGCCCTGTGTGTGGCCCCCCGGGCTGAGACCCCACCTTGTCCCCGGGGTGCCACGCACGGCCGCGGGCTGCTCCCCAGCCGGCATCACCGTGCCCGGCACTGGCACCGGGCCGCTCTGCCGCCAAGGCTCCCAGAGGCGAAGGTGCTGGGGCGGCAGCCAGCAACAGCAAGGGACCTTCGGACAACGTATGGGAGACACCAACGCGCAAACGAATCCTCCACTGGAAAATCCAAGTCTTAATCACCCCTCGCGTGCTACACTTCAAAACAATGAGACCTTAATTACGGCCTTGCATGAGCTACTCAATCCAAAATACAATGCAACAGGTAAAGATAATTAGAGCACCTGCCAGAACAATCTGTGGTGAGTTGTAAGATCCAGCTGCCTCCGCGCTCCCCCGCCGCAGCCCCTCAGCTAACGACAGCGCTTTCAGCAGACGCATGTCTTCCCAGCCCACAGTCCTCCGCCACAAACGTAGCTGTTTCATGTCTAAACACGTATCTGATTGAAATACCATGCCTGCTAAAATCCATCTCCGCATCCGCTGTCCCTACAGCAGCCTGGGGGCTGATTTCCACACTGAATTTTTTCAGTCACATCATTTCTTAATGACTCGGGGAAACATCCGACCAACAAGCAACGCACTGTCAGGGAGGACACCCAGCGACACGACGTGTGGCACGTGACAGAACCGACTGCGGGGCCAAACCGGCAGTCGCGAGGCGCAGCCGCAGAGCGAGCGGGGCTGTGCTCCCCGAGAGCGGCACGGCGGTCACGCACCTGCCGGAACTTCTGATAGATCACACCGAACTTGAACGTGTTGTTGACCTCGTGTTCATCATACGCCACTATCATCTGCGACGCCTGCGGTAAAACATAATACAAATTATTTCATTTGGTAGTTCAACATACAACGTCCAGGAGAGCAAACCCTGCTCGGCGCTGCTGGCCGGGCTCACGGCTCTGCCTGGCACACGTGCCATCGCCACACCGTCGGTACCGCTCCCAGGGCGGCAGGGGGGACAGCCCACCGGGGTACGGCAACGGCGGGGCAGCGCCCGGGGGAGCAGAAGGGGTCAGAAGCCAAATTTCCACATAATTAGGCCAAAAGTTCTCAACAGTGGCCCTGGTTTTGGTCATCAGCATCCCTGAAGCCTCCGCCGCCGACAGCCTGGCTGGACAGGGG